GTTCGGTGCAAGAAAAACGACAGATGCGTGAAAAGTTTCGAATTGTGGGCGGATTTTGGAACTGGTGGCGAACGAAACAAATAAATGGAAACGTGTCTCTTACGGTTTTGTTTTTATTTGTTTTTATTCAAAATAATTTTAAAGCGATTTCATTTTTAGAGAAAGTAATTTACAGCAAGTTTTTTAGGCTTTCAACTTGTTTCGTTTTTGAAGCATAAAATCTCCGGAAAATGGTTAATTTAATGCAAGGAACGATTTTACAATTTCCTGCGATGATTTTAATGAGATGCGATACGCATAATTGAACGCGTACTCGCGTAGCCGTGACTGCAATTAGATAAGCAGGTGATTCGTGTATTCGCCCCTTGTGATCGCGGCTGCGAGAAACGGTTGATACGCTTGGGTTCCCGACTCGCCGATTTCTCGTGTAATCAGTTCGATGCAAAAGTCACCCCGTCGGCATACATATGTACATATTTCACGATAATCATGCAGAAATCCGGTTCTTACGGTAATCGAATCGGATGTGACGGGAGTAAGTAAACCGATAGCAACGAGTTTTGCGGTCGCACAAGTGCATCGATTACGTGTGCTCTAATAAATAATTTATGAAAGTTACTCCCACGACAAAAACGGCAAGTTATATGATACATCTGCATCGATATGTATTTCTACTTTCACTTTTATACATATAATTCATATCAATATAATAATCTTTTTATACACATATATATCAATTCTCTCTCCGCTATTTCTGCGTATGATGATTACTTAATTATAATCGCGCGCTTAAAAGTCGCACATTGTTATTTTTGCGTTTGTCATAAATATATTTGACGTTTGAACGCGAGCCAATTAATTTAGACCACAGGATTTTTGTGGAATATTATTTTTTCTTTACTGCTAACCATCAACGAAATTGGATCGAATTATAAATGTCGCCATAATTTATCAACTCTCCATGCCGACATTAAAAACAAAGTCGAGGTAATATCGGTAACAGCTGATCCCCATGAGCCTCTTCTCATCGTTAAGTCCGACGCGCCCTCGGAAACCTTCGTCGCGATGGACGATAGCCCGCCGCTCCTGTACGGCCGGCACGCACATGCGAGGCCTGCAGGTGCACGCGCGTATACATAGGCAGATAACGACGTTCTTGAACGCAGATCGCGACGTAGATTTATCTGACGCGGAGGCCGCTGACGCTGTTCCCTCGCGCCACCAGCTCCTCCCCTTTGATAATCGTGAAAGGAGGCCTCTTTCTCTCCCTCCCTGTCTGAATTCCGAATGTGGCGAGACACAGAGGTAAGAAGAACAAGGGAGAGAGGAACAGAAGAAGAGCTAAAGCATAACCGTGGAAGAAGGGGACGAAAGATATTAAAAAGAGCGATTTTTCGGATCAGAAAATTTAGAACTATACATACGTATATATTTCAGTAATGAGTAAATTTTAAATTCTCGGTTTTCAATATTTTACAAGTATTATCGATCTTATTATTATGTACCATAATTTATATAAAAAATGTATAGGAAATCCAAAATCTTTTATAAATTTTTCTTCTATTTTATGTGCGCAAACATTTGTATATTCTTCTTGATTTTTATCGATGCTTCTTAAATATTATAATCAAAATTGTTTGTTTGCGCACACGTGTAATCTTAGAAAAAAAATAATTATAAAATTTTATTAATCCAGAATAGCAGAGGGAAATTTAAAACATTTTGTTGAGCTCAGTATTTGCATCAGATTTTCCACACTTTACATCCTCGGGCATCGTCATAGAGATTCATGTATGTACACTTCTCAAGTGTTTGTACAGGCGGCAGGTAATCGAAGCCATACGATACGCCACAATTTTCTTGAGAAAGAACGGATAGATTATGTGGCGGGTAACCGGTTGAAGCAATCGTCTAACTGTTTAAGGCATGGCGTTGATGGATCTGGTCAAATGTGCTGGCCTCTCTGACAACGCATCTGTCGTTAATTCATTTAGCGATAAATTAATAACCATATTCTCTAACTTTAGATTTAATAGTATTAGTGAAATTCCATTAATTAGTATTAGTATTTATTCCACGTGATTATAAATTACGTCACTTTAAAGAAAACGCTGCTCTACGGAATCTTTATATATTCACGTGTGTTCTGTTTTATTAAAATCTTTTATATGATTATACATATATATGGGCGAATCATGCCGTCTATGCACGCGTAGATCGCATTGGTATTAAAACAATTTATAATCGGTATCATTGGACATTTACGTTCATTCTCAATATTTCTCAATATAATTTTTCATTTTACGAACTTTTAACGATGTGATTATGGTCGCATCGGTTCCTCTGAGCAACGCGAATTTTTTAATTAAAAATAATAACTGTAGAATATCAAAGCATGGATTAATCGCAACTGTCATGCGCGTTGAAAATCGACACATATATTCCCGTTGATACAGCATGATTTCGAATCGCTATTCGCAGGGATCGTATCGGCGCACTTTTCACCGTGCCATTAATCGTATGAAGAATTAATGTTTGCGCGGGAGAGGAAGAGGGAATAAAATAATTTCCCTTTACATGGCAAAATAATTCTCGCAAAACGTTCTCGCCGCTATATTCCATAATTTAATGGCCGTAATTTACCGACAGCTGTATATTCCGCGAGCGATGCTCGTGTGCCTAGGCAAAATATTACGTACGCCCCGTACTTGTTGGCCGCTGCATTGCAGCGATATAAATGCTCGCGGATGGACGGTCTCGATTGCGGCGCGTATAAGCAGGTAGAGATCGGTTAGCCGGTGAAAATTGCTCCGGTGCGGATCTAAAGGTAGTCATCGTACACAGGCAATCTCACTTTCGCGCACGCATAGACAATTCCAAAATCAGTGTATGCCGCATTATCATACATAGAATGCCTCGCCATGTATAAGTATATCTTACGAATAATGTCTTAATCTTTGGAAACATTATTCGCTGTATGAAGATATGAAAGGGCCGTTGTCTCGATCGGAAGTGTGGCTACTCTTCATTACTACGTTGAATAATATGCTATATATAATGTACTGTACTATAATATAATTAATAGAATGGATATGCATGAATAGTATATATGGCTAGTACTAAATTGTAAACTTGTTCGAATTATTAAGCATTGTCTGGTTCCGTTAGACTTCATTTATTTTCTATGATGCATTAAATTATCAACAGTTTTCACAAATATAATGGCATTATGAGGAGCATTTAAAACTCGCGTGGGCTGGATGTGTGAGTTAAACCAATAGTTCTATTATTCACCATTATCGAGCTGTTCTGTCTATTAAATTGCCGCCTATTCCTTTTAAACACATATAAAAATGATAAAATGTTTTACCGGAAACAGTTATGTCTGAAATGTAATGCTTCACGTGTCAAATAACTCTCTTTGTTATAAACGTATTAGTTCACTTCTGATGAAAAATTAATTTCGCATGTTTTTTCATGCAATATATTGTTAATTCTCCGTAACTATTAAAAAAAATATAATTACAGTATTGTATATTATTATTATCAAGTTATAAATTCAAATTTCAATCGTCAAGCAATCTAAAAACATATAATTTCATCAATTATTTCCTATTCGCATATATATTACAAAAAAAAGTTGTAAAAGAAACAACAATAGAAATAAATGCCAAGTAGCATTATCTATTTTCCCATTCGTCAGCCGAAAGCGATAATCACGTAGCAGCGGCGTTCCGACCGTTAGAATGACGTTGTTTCACGCGGGTAACGATCCTCGAGATCTCATTTACAGTACAAATTAGTCGTAGGCCGGTCCTCCGTCCTTAATGGCCGGTCGGCACGCAAAGAAGTTAAGTTTAATGAAGACCGCGCGTTATCCGTGACGAACCATGCTCGCGCTCCGTTCGCAAGCAAGCAAACCAGTGTGCGAATATATGTGTGTGCGTGTCTGTGGTGCTCGCGCGCGCGTATGCTCTCAGCGTATGGCGGCTGAATGCGACTTAAACGAAGATTTATGCCGCGACGCGTAAATATAAACAACAATATGCAATCCCCGGCGCATTGTCCCGCGTGGTGGACGCGTGAGAGTCGACCAATGCGAACTAATAAGCCCGCTGTCGTCTCACGTTTGGGTTTGGGCGTATGTACGTACGTACACGCGTGTGCTGGGTGCACGCGGCATTTCGGCGACGCGACCCCGACTCCGCGAACTACCGCGTCCCCCGAGACTAATCGACTGGGGTATAACGAGCGACCGATTCCATCCACGGCACTCCCCGGTCCCTCCGGGAGAAGGCCGTTTTTTGCGTTTCGTCGGCGGAAATTTGTCTGTCGCTGCCTTAATACAACGGCTGTCACGCGCGTCGACGATGTGATCCATCCCGGGCTACTTTTGAAGTAGACGAACTTGTTTCTCGGATTACAACTCGTCCGCGTGATATTTGTTACAGCGCTTTCGGCAGGGAAATACGAAGAGGTAAACGATAGCCCAGTATTTGAATGTTTAGGGTAATTACAGACACATGTACATTATTCTTTTTTCTATGTGAATTGTTTTCTGTATAGAATGGTTAAAATAAGATTTAATTAATATTTATGTATTGAATTGAAACCGGTCGGTAACCATATAAGAAAGAAAGTGAAAACGGTAATATTCCAAAATGCGGTAGTAAAGAATGAAAAATATACTTGAACTTATATTTATATTATACTAAACATGAATAAATAAATGCAGTCATATTTGAAGACAAAGAGAATGAAATGGAACGATATAATGTGCGATTCCTCGATTTGCTACTCATTTTTGCAATGAATTACAAAATTTAATAGGATTATGCGCAAAATGCCATACACGTTCGCCATATATTGTCGGTGTGTCGCCGCGAATAATATCCGTAGGAATGATGCAATTAGTTTTCACGGTGGATGACTCTGGCGGTACTCGAAGAGTTCCGCCAATTTGGAGTTTCCGCTTTTATGAGGTAACATGTAATACTTACGCTTATGTCCTCCATGCTGTAATTTCCGGCGTGCATTAATTCCTGATTGGTACAATTTTCCATGGACGAAAACATAGACAAAGAAGAAACGCACACTAAACGCGTACTGTCACTCGCGCTCTGCGCTCGTCCTTAACGCACTATTCTTCTTCGGGTAAATCACACGTCCGCCTATCGACTCAACAACAACAACACCGGCTTCTTTCTTCCACGGAGAAATCATCACTCGAAGAAACCGGTCAATATCGCTGGAGACCACATCGGCTAAACTTCGCTTACGACCCGCGTCGTTTCTCTGAAGCTTTATTGACTCACCAATGACACTCGTCGAGAGTCACACTACGTTGCACGTTACGTCGGTATATATACAGCATAGGAAGGAAACATGCATGCGCGACGTTCACCGCAAGATCGCCGGCAGGGTCGTAGCCACCGCGACACGGCGACGGCCGCGGCAGCCAGGGTGGTCCACGAAGCGTGACATCCTCCGTATCAGTCGTCGAAGTCTCCGAGCGCCTTCGGAACGGAAAATAACAGAGTCTCACCGATCGGAATATCACTTGCCCTCAAGTCAGGTCGCACTTTGAAGATCTTTTTTTGATCTTAATCACTCACGTTTAATCGACGACTTTGCGATTACGAGACATTTACAATCGCGAAATGCGCAATTGTTTTGGAATTGATTCTGCGAAAAGTCACTCGAAAAATCGTCACCCTGGCGATGATCGTAGACGATTCGGCGTCGTCTTCGTTATCGCGGACTGCACGGAATCAACCGTCTAAGAAAAAAGAAGGGGACCACACACAGCCACCGGAGGTGTTCGGGGACCGTCACGGATGCCGTCGAAGAACCGATGATATGGGTGACCGCGCCGAGAGAGACAGAGAGCCAAGCGCTCGCCGGCTCGGACTGAAACTCACTGAGTCGGCTCTTCTGGTGCCCGGCAGGTCTGCCCGCGCCGCATCGTGGTGAGGGATCATGAGGCAGACGGAGAGGGAGGAAAAGAGGGTGGGAGGGAGAGAGAAAGAGAGAAAGCGAAAACGATGTGGTAGAGCGAGACGAGGGCGAAGCGGGGTTGGGGCCCTACCATCGTGGCCCCCTCCAATCGGCCCACTGGGTGCCCAGGGCTTCGACCATTATCTCTCTTAGGCAGTTCTGCCTTACGCGAGGAAAATACGTGGGGCAAGGGCATCGGGGAGGGATTGGAGGGCTTTATTATATTTACGAGGCGTTATCGAAGCAATCCAACAATATTGATTCCGCGCCGCGGAGCGATCGACCATCTCAAAGAACGCCCAGCCACGGACCCCCGCTCGGCTACGTTTATACGCTACCGGAGGGCTTACGGCGCCCTTATTCTTTCCACTCGTGCGTTCTCTCGACTTCGAGACTTTTTATTTCGTTCGCCTTTCGCTTTAATGCCCGCCGAATGCGATCGAATCGCTGCACGTTTTCCCCCGCGTGAATTACGCGGCAATCGTGGGCTCTCCGTTGCTGCCGATGCTTCTGTTGTTCCGCTGTTGGAGAAATATATATTAAGATGGGTAGGGTGCTTCATAAATTCGACTAGTGATCTCGATCAGGATACGGGCAACTTAAGGACGGATACAAGGATAATACATTAATTTTATTATGATTTTTGCTTACGGTTATCTCGCATGAAAGATGGCAGAGAACAGAAAAAGAACATTTGCTTATTGTTTTTTCTAAATTTATGCATACGAAATATAACATATTTATAAATTTAAAAATTGGTTTTTTTTCATAATAAAGATATGCGGAAAACTTTTTAGGTTTTATTATTAACACAATTGCTATGTTGAGAGATGTAATGAGATATTTATTAAAAAAGATAGACTGAATTAAAGAACTGGTCATTTCAGATTTAATATGCTTGATGATTTTAAATATCTAGATCTTCTCATTTTTTCATTTTAGTAATCTCTTCTTTCTTTACCAAATTTTTTTACTCTGGGTATAACTACTATAGTGGCTTAAAGATTATTAATTAAATATAAGTGTTATTTTATGAATATGTTATATGTATGTGTGTATATATAAAAAGTAGGTAGATATGTGTGAATCCTTGGCTTTATGATTTTATTTTTATCGCTGCTTCGAGACTCGATCTTTTTATGACAATGCTTAAGTCTCAAATTCTACTTTGACCATGTAACGCTGCGCATATATATTATCTCATTAAAAAGAAGAGTAAAGGAACCCATTTTTCGATTCGAACGAACCGTTTCATGTCATCGTAAACATTACGAAACAGTTTCGTCCATGTTTTCGCACTGTTACAAGCATGAGGTGTTACATCTTATTTTTACGATAACCATAAAAGGTTGCTTCAGCTATTTATCACAGTACACATCTGACATGTGTGTGCACAATCGCTGTAATATTTTGTCAAACGCAATTTACATTTATAAAGCTTTACAAAATAGTGCCTAGAAAATTATCCTGAGAAGTAATTTAAAAATAACAACAGTTGCATTGCTATAACACGCACACATATTATATAGGAATATAATTTAATAAAATAACTCATCGTATATAAAAATATAAAAGTGCGTATAAGAAAGAAAATTATGTCGTTAATATATGTCGTATTTTTTTTCTACGCGACTGTTTTTGCCTCTTAACTCGTCATTTTGTATTCTTAATATAATCTTTACACATTAATTTTCTCGCAAGTTGCTTGTAAAATTACATTTCGCGCTCCGACGACACAAGGACAAATGATATCATCAGTATTGCCACTGCAGCTGGAATAACGTATCAAGATCGCAAGAAGCGTAATGCTCGTCGGCACTAATCTTTTAAAGGAGAACTGTCCTGATTACCTTTTACACGGCTATTTGCGTGGTGGTAGTTGGATCATGTTAGCGACAGAATCTTGCCGTTGTTCCGCGCACGAATGTGTAGGTGGGACGATCGCATAACAGCTGATCGTCCTCGCTGATCGGAACGCTAACAACGGCAGTGCAGGAAGCTGCGGACGTCCCTGCGGTGTCGTCCATTTGTATGAGTCTCGGAATTTCATCCGTATTCGATTTAAACGCAAAGATAACGAAGCAACTTCTCTGTCTTTTTCTTTTTCTCTCTCTCTCTCTCCCTCTTTTTCTCTCTCTTCTCGACTTTCCGTCCCAACGTATATTCGCACAGCAAAGTGTTCAAATCATGAAACATATACACGCGCTTACGGCGAAGCTGATAGAAAACTCAACGCAAGATGCACATCAGGCAACAGCATGATCAGAGAGAACAGGCTCGAGCGTGAAGATTATAAGACATGTTTTAGGAAGATACGGTCCATAAATTTCGATTGTACCGCGTGAGGGCGAAAGTAGCGGTTGTTAATCACGCGTATTTATCTACATTCTTGCGCGACGATCATGCGTTTCGTATAGTAGTGTTCACATAATATTGCACTTTGACAAACTTTAAAACAGTCGTAATATTTGGCAATAATTTTAGATAATAGATGTTAAAGTTAGAATTCAATTGTAGTTTAAATCTTCCCTGAAGTATTCCTGTTAGCTTAATCTTCCATATATCATATATAGAAATCCTCGAACATCAAGTTTCTTTCTTTCTCTTTTCCTCTTTTCTTCTCTTTATCGAGCAAGAAAGTACAAGAGTACCAGAGTAATGTAAAGCTGTTGGATCCTTCGAGTTGAATTCAAATATACAGTTATAACGTTCAGTGCGCGCATGAATGGAGTGTAATGCACCTAAAGTATGTCCTTCTTGTAGCCGGATTGCCGAGGCCAGCTCTCTCGCTTGGTTTCACGAGATGCAATTTGTGCTTGGCGTAGAGAGGAGACTCGAAGAGAGAAATCGTACAAACACCCTTCGCTTACGCCATTGATAATGTGTAGGTAGTATAGATAAAAATAAAAGAGGGCTTTCTTTCTCTTTCTCTTTCGTCCTCTCTAATCTTCGTGAAAGTGTATGATGTACCTACGGAAGAGGTAGGGGAGAAGACTTGATGAACTTGCCTCGTGAATCACTTCGCTTATAAAAATTGGCGCCCGATGCGTGAGAGAGATAACACCGGGGGAGGAGTTGTAACAACAGGTTTGCTCGTGTACGCACGTACGAGCCCCTCTCGAGAGTGAGAGAAAGGGCGAGAGAGGCGACTCCAACACGCTGAATCGCGAGAGAATGTTGCGGAGATGCAACGCTCTGGCGATGTCCGGAGCGCATCGCATATGTGTAGTGCGTGCATTTACGTGTCCGATATATACGTAAAATGGTATACACATACATACATACTTCCGACACAATACGACGTACTCATACTTGACGCACGCAACCTACTACAATCGCATTGCTCGGTAATGTTCGAGTTCCGCAGGTTGTGCCGGCGTGATGCGAGGGTGGCATTTAATCTACGTTGTGTTAAGTTTATTGCGTATATATGCGTCTATGCACTACGCGCTCTCATAACCGCGTGCATTACGCGGCGCGCGATGGATGCGAGAAAAAAATGAGAGAGAGAAAGAGGGATGTTTATGCGCGCGTATATATTTGCACCGTTGCTCGACAATATAGGGAGGTTCGTAATGATTCATGAGAAAAACCAGTGACCATTTCGCTCGCTTTGTATCTTCCTCGCGAATACCATTGAGCAGGTGCAACAGTTCTGCATGTAACATGAGATTAGTATGCTTTATTGTTTTGCGTTTCCTTGTAATTACGATTAGGTGAGATAATTTTATTGTTTAATATGGACACTGCCACTCTAAAGCTCGTTCATAATCATCGAGTTGTATAGTTCAGGCATTATAATACAAATCGGTACAGTCACTATAGATTGTCAAAATATATGTTTAATTATAAAAGAAATATTTAATATTTTAAAAATATGGATTAATATATAAAAAAAGCGTATTATAATTTGTTTGTCATTATAAAGTTGTTTTTATGTTAGTTTTATTATTGCTTCATTTTATTTCCTCTTGATTTTGTCGTTTTAAGCTTCATTATCTTCATTCTTTATTCTTTCTAAGATTATTCTTCAATGTTACAAATTTCTCGGCGAACACGGAGCGCGATTACATGATTCATGTGCGGCGCGCTTAAACTAACTGAACGCATAAATTAACGATCGAAATTATCGGTTAAGATCACTTATTAATTAACATGCGAATCCCACACATGGCGTTTCATCGATTCATATTCAATTAGTTGAATGAATACCTTGGCACAGCTTAAGCTACAGTAATACGGCGATAGAGTTCGATGCCAACGTGATGAACTATAATCAATTACGCGATCGCAATTGCGAAATGTGCCTATTGTTCGAGATCTCTTCATTTCGCAATGATCTTATTTCTATGGAATTTCTTTTCTCGTAGCTGAGGAAATAACTCTCTCAGTTGAATATAGAATAATTCGAGCAGCATGATTCGTTTATTGCGAAAGATGAGTTGCAACATTTTGTATAAATCAAAAGATGCTTTACTAGAATCGAGACGAAGAAAGGATGCGCTTGTGACATAGATTGCATACTTTAAATATTGTATATTTTGCAATTATTCAGCTAAAAAAATAAATTAAGCTTATGTTAACTTCTAAGAAAGAAAACTTCTTTTGATAAAAATCTATTGTAATTTTTACATTTTATTTATTGAAAATATTTTTCATATAAATGTTTTCATATAAATAAGTATTGAATATTTTAAATAAAAAATATTTTTTAAATATTATATCTTTAATAAAATATTTTTTAAATATTTTTTATTAAATATATTCTTTCTTAATCTTGTTTGCTACAATAATTTATTAACAATGTAATAGTAAGTAAGTAAATAAACCCTCTAATTTTATCAGGTATCTTTTACATGATTGATGATAATTAGACACGATATTTTTGAATATA